TGGGAACTGAGATAAAATAAAGGGGGTACTATCGTCCAATTATCTCAGGCATAAGGAGAAGTAAACCAGGCTGGGGAGAAGAATGTATCCACAAGGAAAGCTCATCACAGCAGCTGAGCTGAAAATCAGCTTTGGTGGGGTCTGGTGGGGGGCGGCTGTAGCCCCCAGACTCGTTTCTGGGGCCTTCCACCAGATGACTGCATATGATCCATAGTATTGCAACAGATCCATAGTGTTGCAAAAGACAGTGTAAAATTCCACCCCCCACTACCCACTCAGGGGAGGTGCTTGGGCATTCCCACGTATACCTGAACATATACTAATCCATTGAACTCTGTGTTTCATGGGATCCCCACCACTAAGAAGACCAGAAGAAGAGGACCAACAGGACGCCATCTGGATCTACGAGTGGTGATATCTTTCTACTTACTCTGTTTCTCTGTCACTCTCTTTCTTCTCCCACCCCCCACTCCCCACTCTCTTTTTCCTATTTCTTTCTCTCTTTATCTCACATTTGCTGTTAAATAAAATCCATACTATTGACTTTTGCATATGGTCTCTTTTGCACCTTAATTTGGACAGAGGCATCTCTCTATTAATTCTAGTAACTGGATCACTGCTGACCCTTTGCACAACAAATGGCATGGGGACCTGTGGCCCAGCCAGCGGACTGGACACTCAGAGACAGCAGCAGCCGACATTCCCCGGACTTTCCCGCCCTTAGACTGTAAAGGTATAAAAGCTCAGGGATTCCTTTCTTTGGGGTTCCTCCTTGGAGGCATCAGCTCAAGCTGTTGTTTTGTTATGTAGTTATTGCACCACAATCACATTTTTTTAAAGATCTGGACACTTGAGACTGCTATGGGAAACCTGGAGCTGAGCCAGTGAGGAAACCTGGTCTGCCAGTGTGAGAACGGGACATGTAGCTGTGAAGGGGCCTCAATTGCAGCTCAGGTCATGTGGAAGTGATTGCTAGAGTCACTTCAACATCCTCTGAAGGGCTGACAGGGAAGTTTCCTTAACACCTTAAAGAAAGTGTTTGAAGTGTTCAAAAACCTAAACCAGAGGTATTCAACACACATCTAGGTTGGAAGTGGCCTTCAAACTATTTTCGTATTCTTCAGTGGCTAAGTGCTCTAACTTTTAAAGTGCACTCCAGGAACACTTAATTCCAAAGAAATCTTTGCAAACATGCCACAGCTGCACTTTCTGAATATGAATACAGTTGCATGAATGACTTGTAAGTCCACATTCTCAGTTTCTTCTTAATTCCGGGATATCATCCATCCAGAAATCCAGTAATGACTTTTCAGTATCAGTATCAATAATTTAATTATATTATTAGGAGATGACATATTGGGAGTGAAGCGGGGTGTTGAGAATGAAATTGTGAAGAAATTAAACACAAAGAACACCAGGGAAAGGTTGGGAAGGGAGAAATAGGGAAAGAAAACCAAGAAATAAGGGATGGAAACAAACAGAACTTTCTTGGTGAATGATTCAGGACACATCAGTGAAAAATGGCAAAAATAACTACTGTCCTCCACAAAAGCCAGTCTTGGCCCTTAGCAAATCTTATGCTGATTCCAACAGACATCCTGCATGGTATCAAAAGGAACATCCAATTCTGATTGCCCAGCAGGAATTCAGCCCTCCCTGCTGAACAAATGAGATGTCTGAATTTAAGAATAAACAGCCTCAGCATATTTCAGTTTTGCTACCATGATCTGTTGTTTCTTTGAGACTGTATACTTAATGTGCTTTTGAAGTTGTACATTATTAAACGCAAAAGGTTTTCTTTGATACTTAAAAATGTAAAGGTCAGGAATTCTAATCTGCTGGGGTTTGATCCTTTTTTGCATATTTAAAGTCTCTGTTTCTGCTGAGAATATTAAAGTTTACATCTCTATATTGCATATTCAATATAAGTGAATTATAGCTACATATGCATACATTTTTGTACTGCTTGGAAAGACAAGAACATTTTGGGACTAGAGAATAAGGCTCCTCAGATGAAATAATCTCACTGGTGTCAGTGAGATCAAAGAAAAATAAAGTACTAGTTAGCACAAGCAAGAAAGGTAAGAACTGATTTTAACTAGTTTCAATGTTAGGAAAAATTATAGCCAAACACTGCAAAATCAACAAGTCCTAGGATATTAATACATTCAGAAAGTGAGGACTAAAACATAATACTCAAACTTTAAGTTTAGGATTACTGACAAATTCTCAGTAGCATTAAATGTAGCATATATGAACATCATGTGGTAATAAATTGATGTGTTTTCTCCTCTAAAGCTTTTAATCCTCTCTGGGACCTTCAGCAAGGTTGACTACTTCTCTGAATGTATCCTCACCATGTTTTAGGCCAGTTAGTATCTGCAGTTTGCAGTTAAGCTTAATAATAATGATAGAATGATAGAATCATAGAATCTTAGAATTAACTGGGTTGGAAGAGACCTTCGAGATCATCAAGTCCAACCCTTGATCCAACCACACTGTGATTACTAGATCATGGCACTCAGTGCCACATCCAGCCTCATCTTAAAAACTTCCACAGACAGTGAATCCAACACCTCTCTGGGCAGGCCATTCCAATGCCTGATCACTCTCTCTCTAAAGAACTTCTTTCTAATATCCAAACTAAACCTCCCCTGGCAGAGCTTAAGCCTGTGCCCTCTTGTCCTACTGCTGATTGCCTGGGAGAAGAGACCAACCCCCACCTGGCTATAACCTCCCTTCGGGTAGTTGAAGAGAGTGATGAGGTCACCTCTAAGCCTTCTCTTCTCTAGACTAAACAATCCCAGCTCCCTCAGCCTCTCCTCATAGGACTTGGGCTCAAGTCCCTTCACCAGCCTGGTTGCTCTTCTCTGGACCTGCTCCAGCACCTCAATGTCCTTCCTGAACTGAGGGGCCCAGAGCTGAACACAATTCTCAAGGTGCGGCCTCACCAAGGCAGAGTACAGGGGAAGGATCACTGCCCTGCTCCTGCTGGCCACACTGTTCCTGATCCAGGCCAGGATGCCATTGGCCTTCCTGGCCACCTGGGCACACTGCTGGCTCATGTTCAGCTTCCTGTCAATCAGCACCCCCAGATCTCTTTCCACCTGGCTGCTCTCCAGCCACTCTGTCCCCAGCCTGCAGCGCTACAGGGGGTTGTTTCTTCTTATGTGGTGTGTGCAGTGTTTTTTGGTCCTTCTCGGTCTCCTCTAGATGTTCCATGAGATTCTGATTCCCTATATTCCCCAAAGAGAGAAAAAAAGAACATTTACAGCAGCAAGAGCTTTCATAAAAGCATCAGGAAGAATACCTCTGTGGCACAAGCAGGCAAAGGATGCTCTGTTTATCATATTTAGGTGGTGGATATTATTTACACTTTCAGAGAATTCTTCTGAGAAATGGCTAAACACATTTTAAAATGCCTAGGCAACTGGACAGCTTTTATTAGATCATAAGTTTTACTCTTACTTTGTTACTTGCATAATTCTGGGCAAATATCCATGCACATGTCATGTTTAAAATCACAATGAAAGACAGACTGCAAACATTCACATTTGACTGAATTAAACCACACATATATCTACTTATGCACAATCAGAGTGTATCTTTAATTTCATGGGTGCCTGTGGATACTTCGCCCAATACAATTCTGTATTTCACAATTAAGTTGATATGTTTTAAAGGTTTAGATGTCAGTTTTCCAAAAACCTTTCAGTTCTTTTAGTTATCTTTCTGATTTTAGAAAAAAAATCACTTTATACTTACTCTGCACCTTAATAGTGTATCCTATACCATTTTTTGTGGACTTTTTAATTTGCACAAAAATCACACTAAGTATTTGTACTTTTAATTAACTGCTTTGGTTATGAGATAAGATATTGAAATTGTGTTGTGGGTAAAGAGATGAAAAGCACTATTGTGAGAAAAACAATAGAAACACTAGGAACAGTAAATTCGTGGTTCTGCACATAACTTGCTCACAGACTTGCCAAAGTCTGCCATAAGTATTTTATTATTAGATTTCCAAAAGCGTTATCTAAAACTGCCTTTCTCCATTTTCAGACTGAATTTTGGAATCACTAATAATGCATGATCCCAGTTAAAGTTAATGTAGGACTAAAATCAGTGAAGTCAATAGTTGGTTGGTATCCTTAAACTCACAAGCCTTTGAAGTACAGATTCTGAAAAGTGAAAGGTATACAATCAATAGAGACTTAAAGAGAAAAAAATTCTGCTTTATCCCCTGTACTGCTCTTGTCCTTTTCAGGAACTGTCATTCCTGTTCTTACATATTGTACCCTAAGAGTGATGATGAGAAATAACACGTTGTCACTCATTATTCTAAAATGGGGTTTTTATGATTTCTCATCTGTGATGGAACTGTTGCAGTTAGATGGAAAACAAACCCATGTTGGTATTTTTGTATCTGTGATTCTTGAAACTGAAATTTTGTTTGATTTCAAGCTGGAGATGTTAAATTGCTGTAATTTAAGGCAAAGGAATGATAGATTCAGACTATGCAGGCTATAAAATTATTTTCTGTGTCGTTTAGGAAAAGAACCTTGGACACTTCCACCCGCCAGGAACCATTTTAAATAGATATCCCATGACAGTCCACGTGTGCTCTACATGCTTTTTTCACACAAGTACAAGCACAGTACTATCTAAAATTTGTTGGCTGGAGCACAAAGAAGAGGCTATGAAATGCTGTTTCCTTAAATCATGGTTGGATCTTATACGCAATCGTTCTTTGGGAGGGAATATGAGACTAGTGAAGGGACCTAAGGGAGCAAGTTTACACTGCTAAAACTGAAAGAAAAACAGAGTTGCTATTCCGCAGAAGCTTATTAAGTTGTGGGTTTATTTTTGTTTTGCTTTTGTTTTGGTTTGATTTGATTTTTTTGCCAGGGTTCCCATTACTCCCCCAGGCTGTTTCCCGGTCCCGCCTCCGCTGGCAGCGCTGAGGCGGTTCCCGGCGGGCGGCGCGCGGCGCGGCCATGTTGCGCGGCCATGTTCCACAGCAGCACGCAGCGCCGGCACTGGACCTTCCCGGTCGAGGAGGAGCTGTCCCGGCGCCGGGCCGAGGCGAACCGCCGGGCACGGGGCAGGGCCGCGGCCAGCGGGAAGGTGCGCGGGGCCCGCAGGGAAGGCGGGCGCGGGGCGGAGGAGCGGGGCCGCGGGGCGGGAGCCGAGCGGGCGGGGCAGTCCGAGTGAGGAGCCGCTCTGCCTCTCCGCAGGTGCCGCAGGGCGAGGCGGTGCTCCTGGAGCCGCACGAAGAGCTGGCAATATGCAAATACTACGAGAAGCGGCTGTTGGATTTCTGCGCCGTGTTCAAGCCGGCGATGCCGCGGTCCGTGGTGGTGAGTGAGCGGCGCTGGGGCCGGGCCGCCTCGGCCGCCTCTGTCCTTCGCCTGCTGCTGCTTGCGTGGCTCGTTCTGGAGAGCGCGGATGTCTTTAGACCTAATTTCCCTCTTCCAGCTTTGCAGTCTGTGCCCGCTTCCTATATTTTTTGTTTGTTTCTGTGCATGCAGCCATTTCAAAACCAGTTGTTTCTCAACGTGATCTTCTGCTTGTGGCTCCTACACTTGCATGGGTGACTGGACTGCTTTGTTTGACTGAACTGTTGTGGTTTGTACCGCATCAGCGTTTGTACTGGCAGTTAACTGACCTACAGAGGAAAAAGAAAATTACCTTGAACTGACTTACCTTGAACGCAGACGAGTTTTTCAGAAGGGAGAGCGTGGGGACCTACAGCTGAAGCTGAGCCATTCAGATGAGTGGCTTGTATTGTGCCCTGTCAGTCCTCCCTTCTTCTGGCAGGTGTGGTGAAGAGTGCCCCACCTGACGATGCCTTTGAAAGGTGGCAGTAGCTGCCATGGCACATTCTGTGAAGCCAGACTTATATTTGAGAAGTGGCCCCTGTGGAGTCTTGTCAAGCAGTGGTTTTGGAAAACACCTGCTTTCATGCCAGTAAATGTGCTGCGGAAATTACTGATCTAAAAAGTCAAATGGTTGGGATTGCTTGCAACTTTTGGGATAATTTTTTTCCAGTCTTTGGTTTTTAAATTTCATTTGAATATGAGATTTTTCTCATGGAGATACTGTAGGGTTTTTGAGCATTGTCTTGTGAAGTATGTCTGAAAATTAAAGATTTTGTAAGCCTGTCATATTGCAGGCATAAATGAAATATTTAATGACATGGCTTTGTGTGTGTCATAGTGCCTTAGTGTATCCTGCATGCCTGCAGAATATATCAGACTTACCAGATCTGTGATTTTTTTCTAACGTATTTATTTTTTCTTTATCCATTTTTATTTCTTACCATTTTTTTTTCAATTTAGGGAACAGCTTGCATGTATTTTAAACGCTTTTACCTCAATAACTCAGTGATGGAGTATCATCCTCGGATAATAATGTGAGTTATCAACACTTCCTGAGTTATTCTGTCAAGTGGAACATTGGAGGTATAATCTTTTATATTTGTAAAGACCTGAAAAAAAAAGTGAGAAAGGAAATCTGTGATCTTAAATAGGCGTAAAGGTAAAATATGGTCTGTTTCACTTTCCATTTGGAAAAATTTGTTGTCTTCAGAACACGGTGTTTTGAAGATACAGTTTTTCTGAACAGAACTCTTGATAAAAGAATCGATGCTGCATAAATCAGTTGTTTGCTTTTTTGTTTTTTTTCCCCTCAAGGCTAACGTGTGCATTTTTGGCCTGTAAAGTAGATGAATTTAATGTATCCAGTGCACAGTTTGTTGGTAACCTTCGAGAAAGCCCTCTTGGACAGGAAAAAGCTCTTGAACAAATACTGGAATATGAACTGCTGCTTATTCAGCAACTGAACTTCCATCTCATCGTCCACAATCCATACCGGCCTTTTGAGGGATTTCTAATTGATTTGAAGGTAATAGAAAACTGTTTGGTGTGCTGTATGCTCTGTGTAGTAAAGTAATACAAGTCTGTCATGTGTTGTGTTAGAAAACTTTATTTCCTTTTGTGCCTGTGAACTTAAAGGATGTAATTACTAAAGTGCTTACAGATATCTTAAAGATGGTTATTTATGGTCTTTAAGCTTTTTAGGCTATTTTTTGAAAAAGAGGGAGGCTTGCTACTTTTTAGCTTTGTAAAGTATTGTTGTTTTGTGTGTTCTGAGCTTACAAACAAGGAGGAGCAGCCACTTACTTTCCTAAATATTTACTTTTTAGACTCGATACCCGATGCTGGAAAATCCCGAAGTTCTGAGGAAAACAGCTGATGACTTTCTCAGTCGAGTGGCTCTGACAGATGCATATCTGCTCTTTGCTCCCTCACAGATAGCTCTCACTGCCATATTATCTAGTGGTTCAAGAGCAGGAATTAATATGGAAAGGTAGTGTTTTCTTTTTATAGTTATGATTTAAAGAGTTTATTTGGTTCCTGTATAAAATTTTTCTTCAGACATTCTTAATTAGTACAGTTGTATATTTACTGATTGTTAATGCTGGTATGTTCTTTAGCTGTGTTTCAGAATTGTAGTCGTACTATTGGTTTCTCTTTCAAAAAGTAGGTGATAAATGCATTTAGTTGGTGTCTGGTTTTTACGTGCCTTGGGAAGAAGGAAAAAAAAGAAACGTTGACTTTGCCTCAGAACAGCGTAGCATTTTCACACTCATCTTAAAGATTATGGTGAAGAAAGTGGAAATACAGTAGAAACTGAGAGTTTCTTAAGAATCACTTAAAGAAAAAAATGAGATTTTTAAGGTTACTAAGGTTTAATGACACTGAACTGACAGCTATTAGGCATGCTGAAACTTAAGTGCTATATTTGGCTGGTACAACTGTTCATTTTCCACGGAAACAAACAAATGCTAAGGTGCTGTTTTAAATCAGTGCCCGCTTTCCTTTCTGTGCCCTAGCCACTTGGTGTTTGCACAGGCATTATTATCAAACGCTTTGGTACCTTTGCTGAAATGTGTAGTTTGTTTGGTTTGGTTCTCATAAAAACAAAACGTATGCTTTTTTTAAGAAAAACAGCTGAGGTAGTTCCTGTAAGGAGTTGTACCTGGCATGTTGTAATCACATGCCTGTGAGCATTTTGCATCCGGAGTGTAACACCTGCAGGCACAAGGGTTGATGCAAAATGCAAACAGTTCTTTTTAAATAAATTAGTTATTTTTAAATAAACCTCCTCTAAATGAATCTGAGATCTCTCTTGTTCAGAAAGAAAGAGTATTCTCTACAGGTTTCACTGTCCTTTCCAAATTGCATAAAAATATCCAGGTGCTTACTTTAACTTGAAAATTGATCTCATTCCTAGATCTGTATTCTGTACTGCTTGTCCAAAAATTCAGAAGAGCTTATTTGCAAAAAGTACTAAAATAATTTGTAGATAGCATAGGAAATAAGGTAACTTCGTTTGCATGTTCAGGAAGAACTCAAGTCTTTGTGACCTGTCTGCACCATGCGGTTGTTATAACCTGCTTATTTATTATTTTACTTGAGTTTTTGCTGCTGGACATGAGAGAAGCAAATGCTGGGTCTGTGGACCTGGGAGCAGGTGCCCCTGCAGAAGCGGGGCAGAACATTGGAGGGGTTTGAAAACCTGTCGTTCCCATGATGGAAGGAGCAAAACTACTTGGTTGTTGTAGGTCTTAGTGAGGAGTGTTACTCATGTCTGTTGGGGTTTTACCCAGGCACTGCACATGTATTAGTGTTCTTACTAAAAGGAAGTTTGAATCTCAGTGGGAAGAAGAAAGGACGCACAGGCTCTTACAAGACAACATTTAGGAATGGCTTTCAGCTGCCAAAAGAAGCAGGCCTGTCTTGCAAGCTCTGTTGTGTGTTGGTCAGTCTGAAAAACACTCTTCCGTAGTTTTGGCTTGTCCCATAGTTATACTGTGCAATAGTGTGATGTTGTCATAGAATCTTAAACCTAATTTGTCTTAGCTCTGTGAGGCTTACTTAGAAATGTTGAATTCTGTGGTGTTGGAACTTCAGGTTTTCACGTGGCTGGGGAATACTTTTGTCAAGTTCTTACAGTGACAGATTTGCTTTTTTATCACTTTAAAGCACTTACATAACCAAAGTGTTCTTACTTAGTCTAATCATAAAGCTCTAGCAGATGTAAATAATAAATATCACACTTTTTATTAATGGATAGTAACTGCCACAAATAATTATGACACTTCAAAAATTTATTCTTCCATGTCTCTTTGTAGCTATTTATCAGAAACTCTTATGCTGAAAGAAAACAGATCAACCTTATCCAGACTACTAGATGACATGAAATGTAAGTAAACGTTGGAAAAGTATGATAAAGAGTTATCTCTAAAGAACTAAAACCCATGTTTTTCCAAATGACTTTAAGCAGAAGGGTGTGCTTCCAGTGGCTTTCTTCACCTCAGGGCATGCATAAGGTAAATAAAACATGGGCAGTGTGGATGGACCATGTGGATGGAAGGGAAGAAAACACTGAAACACAATGAACAAATTAAACAAATGTAAATTAACAAATTAAATAAATTAAAAGGGAAGTGGCCTGCCTGATGCTTTCAGACTAGTAACTGACTTAAAATTGAGAAATCTATTTTGGGAACTAGATAATAGTTTTTGTAAGACATGATTAAATGACTTTTCAAGTCACTGTGTTTTAAAAATTGCAGCTTTAGGCAGAGCCTGCACATTACTGCTACTACCACCAGAGAGTATCTGCTGTAAGCTGAATGATTAATGTGAAGTGATATGCCAGGATTTCTACTGCACTTCTGGTTTGCAGCTATGAACATATTTCAAAAGATGTTTAGCTTCACTAGTGTGAGAAGTGTATATGCGTGTGTGTATTTTACAAATACCAAGAATACTAACATGGTTTAGCTAATAAGTCATAATCAGTGGACTTCTATTCCCTTTTTTTAATTAAGTGAAAAGGCTGGAATATGAAATTCTCAGATTCTCAGTAAGTGATCTGTTATTTGATGCTTTAGGCTAATGCATGCATTTAAAATGAGAGTGGTAGCATTGAAGCTTCGGTCTTTGGCAAGGCTGACTTGAGTAGTGAATGTGCCATACAAGTCACCAGGGTCTACAGAATCCATTTAAATTGAATTTACAGAACTTAAGGTGCCTTCCCTTTCTCTTCTTCTAACAAATGCAGTCTTCAGGTTTCCATTGCTGAGATCAAAGGGGACACTTGGATCTCTTATTCTTTGCTTCCATTATCCTGGAAGGGAGTTTTGCCCCAAAGGCAGCTCTTCTGTAAACATATGATGGTTGGAAGGAAATTTGTGAAGCATTTGTAAATGACTTTTACAAAGCTGGTCATAGAGAAAACAATCTTGTTTCTTGAAAGGTAGCTGTAAATGTAATTTGCATTGTTAACAAGACTGAAACCAGTCTTTTTTTAAGACAGAGGTACAGTGCTGAATGCAAAAAACTCTTGTGTATTTTGAAGCTTATTAGCACAGTAACATGAACTCTACATTATTAGAGTTTACCTTGAGGAAATCCAGAGTGTAGTGATGCTAATGGCTTGTTTCAGTGAAGTTATAATGAGGGAAGGAAGGATAAGGTGTTGGCTCAAGCCTGGCTATGAGGGATAAGCAATAGCAGCAGCCATGCTGCTGATAAGCTTGTCATGGACTGACCCCAGGTAGACACCAGGTACCCACCAAAGCCACTCCGTCAGTGACCTCCATAGCTGGGCAAGGGAGAAAAAGTATAATAAAAAGCTTGTGGGCTGAGATAAGGACAGGGAGAAGTCACTGGCCAGTCACAGTTGTGGGCAAAACAGACACAGCTGGGGTAAATTAGTTAAATTAACTGCCAGTCAGATCAGAGCAGGGTATGAGAAACAAAAACCAAATTTTCAAAGACTTTTCCCCTGCTACTCCCTTTTTCCTGGGCTAGGCTTCACTCCTGAATTCTCTCCCTCTAGCACAGGAGGACTGCAGTCAGCTTGTTTCTGCCACTCCCTTCCTCCTCAGGGGGAGGACTCCTTGCATTCTTCCCTTGCTCTGGTGTGGTGTCCCTCCATAGGACACAATCCTTCATGAACTCCTCCAGCGTGGGTTCTTCCCATGGGCTGCAGTTCTTCATGAACTGCTCCAGCATGGGACCATTCCATGGAGTGCAGTCCTTTGGAAACGCATTGCTCCAGTGTGGCTACTCCATGGGGTCCCAAGTCCTGCCAGCAAACCACCTCTGTCCATGGGTTTGCATGTCCCTGCTAGAAGCCTGCTGCAGCATGGTATTTCTGAAGGATCACAGCCTTCAGGCATATCTGCGTACTCCAGAGTGGACTCCTCCTTGGGCTGCAGGTGGATATTGTTGACTTCCACGAGCTGCAGGGGCTGCCTCACCATAGCTCCATCAGGAGCTGCAGGGGAATCCCTTTTGGTGCCTGGAGCACCTTTTCCCTGTCTTTCCTCACTGACCTTGGTGCCTGCAGGGCTGTTCTTCTCACATATTCTCACTCCTCTTTCCAGCAGCACTTACTGCTGCACAGGTGGATTCCCCCCACCTTAAATCTGTTATCCCACTGCTAAAGGGCTCAGCCTTGGCCAGTTGTAGGGACCTTCTGGAGCTGTCTGGCATTGGCTCTGTTGGACACAGGGGAAGCTTCCAGCATCTTCTCACAGAAGCCACCCCTGTAGCCCCCCCACTACCAACGTCTTTCTATGAAGACCCAACACAACCAGGCAGAGCAGAAATTGTTTATGTGCTTAGAGCTGTGTTGTTGCCATTGTAGGCATGAAAAATCTCATCAAGAAATATGAACTGCCGAGGGCTGAAGAGGTTGCTGGTCTAAAACAGAAATTAGAGAAGTGTCATGCCTTTGAGCTTGCACTTAGTACAAACCTGTAAGTAGATCTTTGATGTGTTAAAATTCAGCTGATTTTACTGGTATAGGAACATTAATTTTTTATCTATAGAAGTGATTGATTGAAAATGAAAACTCCTAAATGTGCACATGCTTGCTATGTGAGAGTCTGCTGAGAACCAAGACTCAACATGGTGCTTTCAGTAATACATAAATACATTCTTTTGTGCTGATTTGCACTGCAAGCTGATTATTTTGTTAACACAAAACTGGAATCCTGGGTGGCTTCTAAGGTCTGGCCACTTGATGTTGTATGCAATGAGAACTTTAAAACCATGTAATTAAAACAAGAATTGTGTAAAGGGTTAATGTTTTCTTAAGAATTATGTGGAGGGCAAAGAACTTGGTGATTTTTCTCCTCTGCCTTTTTCACTTCAGTAGACCCAGTGAACTTCCAGCATGCTGCTTGTTGAGGCTTTGGTAGTTTTTTATGTGACAAGTTTGCCATAATCTTAATATTGTGGTCAAATAAAGAGAGTCTAACTTATAAAAATACCTGAACATTTCAATTCTCATCTGGGTTAGGAAGAAGAGGAAAGGTTATGAAGATGATGAATATGTTGCAAAGAAATCCAAAATGGATGAGGTCAGTAAACCTTTTGTACAGGTACTTGTTTTTCCACTCTTAAGTGCCAAGATGAAAGTGAGACAGCTACTGAGATAAACTCATGCATCTGTATTACTCTTGTTGCTCAAACCAAATCTTTCAACATTTTTTTGTTTTCAAATGAGCCAGATTTCTTACTAGCCTGTGCTTGGAAGTGTTCTTGTACATCTCAGTCTTTTGTGGGGAAGGGGAAGAAAATGCATCCTTCCTGCTGTTTCTTGGGATCTGAAAGTTTTTATTTACTTTATTTGGCTTCTTGCTCAAAGCAGAAGTCAGATTCTGGACTAAGTTTCTACATCAGCCACTTTGCCAGCAAGGCTTGCATGAATTACAGATTGGTAGCTACTACTTCGGGTTATAAGACCTACTGTAAAAAGGTGGAGATAAACTGATGAGGGTTGTCTGCCAAAATCTGTGTCTTTTTTTAATTCAGGGAGTCTTGCTATTATAGATTATCTAAGTAGGTTGATGCTGTAGTGTCAAACTAGAATCCAAAAAATTATTTGAACAAGATTATAATAAAAACAGCATCGAAAGTATGTTTTAAGAAAATGTGGAACCTTAAATGTATTTTATAACTATGCTGTAAAACCTTTGACTAGCGTTTACTCCAAATGCTAGTCTTAAAAAGCATACTGAAATAGGCAACTCCATAAAATGGGCACTGGCAAAACTTCTCACTTTCTGACAAAGTGACATAGAGAACAGCTCTAAATGAGCTCTAGAGATTTCACTTGTTCCCTGCCCCAGTTTAATTTTAATTAGTTATGCTCTATGGTTTGAGGCATTTTTGATTTTTGGAGCTTGTTATTCATTCATATACATAATTCTTTTTCCAAAGGAGTAACCTGATTGGATCACATAGCCTACAGCATTTTATGATAGGATGTTGCGCAGTTCCAACAGGTCCTAAACTCAGGACTTTTCATTACTGACGTATCTGAACTGTCAAGGGTTTGTACTTGTGTAGTTTCAGTTCTAAGTAATTGTCACATGCAAGAGCAGATCTGAGCTGGCCAGGACCTAAAAGAGAAAGTGTGCTTAACTTTTCGAAAGCATATAGTGCGTGCAAATTGCTCAGACATGGAGGCTTCATTAATCCTGTCCTTAGACTGTAGTATACAGGTGCACAGTGAGTTCTAATGTACTTCTAGATGTTGTTTCAAATTATTTGTTTACACCTGAAGGTTAGTATCAGTAGCAAGGCCAGAACTCCTATGGAGAGCTCATCAGATTGAAAGATAGAGGAAATACACAAGGTAGTAGTTAAGCACAGGTGACTCATCTTCCAAGGTGATGACGCCATAAAAAGCACAGGATACTAGTAAGAGGTTACAGTATGAGGAAATCTCTACGTAACTGTAAGAAGCATGAGCTAAACCTCAGGCTGGTGCTGCAAGGGGCTGCTCCATGACTCTCTCCATGACTATAAGGGTAGGTATGGAAAAGTAGCTTAAAGTCTATAGGGATGACTTGCCACAACTTATAATATTTTAGTCTTTACTCTGTTCATGGAATCCTTCTGTGAGTTCTTAAATTCTGACCATAAAGAACACATAGGACATTACATGCACACCTTGCTCAAGGTGTTGTGTTTTTCCCTCCCATTAGGAAGAGTGGACTGATGATGATCTTGTGGATTCTGCATTACCTTAAAGGAAGATGGACTCCTATGCCACAGGTTCCTTATATTCTGTGTCATACAGCTTTTGTACTTTTAATCTTGGCAATAAAGCCTATTATTTTACTAAAGTAAAATTAGTTGTGGTTCCATTAAACCCTCATCCATAACGGGTCAAATATTAGCAAGAAATACTTGCTTTTAGAAATCTGCCACTTGTTTCTGGTTTGGGAACAGTTTGCTGTGGGTGAAGTATAGGGTTAGAGCATGGCAGCCACTACTTTGTTTCCTTTTTATATACCCCACTGGAACATAAACAGTTCTACAATACACACACTTAAATGCAGCCTTGGAGGTTGCCCAGTTTCATTCTCTGCTGCATTTTGTATGTAAGAGGTAGATCAGCCAGGTGCCTCTGTGCTCCAGCGTTTTTATTTTTACCATGTTGTACTGCCTACACCCAGCCACCTCAATCCACAAAATAATCCATTTTATATACTCTGTTAAGATCTAGGTAGGGCAGAATGAGAGACAGTTAATTACTTAGACTCCTCTCAGATGCAGTTTAATACAGACTTCACAGGGTTATGGGAAAAATAAAAAAAAAAAGACTTCTGTAGTACCAAGGTCTTGTAAACAGGTGTGTTGTCACTATGGAGAGCATCACCTGTTCCTGCTGAGTGCAGCACTTGCGACACTTGGGAGCTCTCAGCTGCAGCACTAGACTCTCATTTCAGGGAAGGAGTTCCAGCTGGATACCAGGGCAGCACAGCAGAACCACTATAATACTACAGCAAAGACCCAAAAGTAAAGTCTCTGTGATTTCATGTGACAGGAAATTGAAGAAGCAGTTCTGACAGACAGGAGAAGCAGCAGTGTAGGTGTTCTAATGGTGTATCAACAGCAATCAAATTTATCGTACGAATATCTCGGTCTTGTAATGGAATCTCAGCATCCTTTTACTCCCTGTTATTAGACCACTGCCTAGAAAACTAACACATGGTGATATGGCAATACGCTCTGAACCAACAGCACATTTTACTTTTCATTTTTTTAAGTACTCTGTGGCAGTGCCACGGGCAAGGACACCTTCCACTAGATCAGGTTCCCCAAGCCCCATCCAACTTGGCCTTGAAGGTTCCAGGGACAGGGCAGCCCCAGCTTCTCTGGCACAGTGCCCATGCATCACTACACTCAGAGGGAAGAATTTCTTTTTATTAAATCTCAACCTATCCAGGATGTTTTAACATCTACTTTCTCACCTTGTGATGTACAAATTAAGGTGCGTGAACAAGGTAATCCTGTTTTGAGAATTTATGCTGAAAAAGTGACAGACACAGCATGAACATTTTAAAGAAAAATGCATGTAGAGACACTAAAAAATTTCCACAGCAGCCAAAGTTAGTGAGTTTCCATACAGTTGATACGCAGCTTGATTTATTTTAAAAACTCATTTTTCACTTATAAAAATAATATTTATGCTAGACTTACAGTACACAAAAGACCAAACAATACCTATTTTATAAAATGGTTTAATGAATGCATGCATGTCTGATACAATGATCAATAAATTTACTGAATTCAAATTATTTACTGTTGTAAACATTTTACAAAAGCATTGTGATTTATCCGGATATACATTCTTGATGGAAGAACTATTCAGACTGAATCAGTGGCACATCAAAAAAAATAAAGCTGACAAGACCCATTCTGCATATTCTCTTTCAACATAATTCCAGCAAGAGAAACAGTATGGTATAAAAAGTGTACAGTAAAGATTGTTCCTACCATAACATCAAATTCTGAAAACTGTAAATACAAGTTAAAAGTGGTTGAAACAGTCAAAAGTCATAATTATTGTCACCAGTCAGAAATTACAGTAAGAAATGTCATCCAGTTATAGGTGGTTGTCAGAACAACACATTTCTTCTCATGTCAGTTGATAATTGTTTTCCAACCAGACAGCAAAAACTTTGGCAATCAGAGGTGCTGAAAATAATTTTCAAAGTCCAAGACAGTCACAGCATTTTCACTGCGGAGGGTGAACTCTACACCAAGGCTCAGAGGTTGTGAAAACTGTTTCCAAGTGGAAAAAAAAGTGCAAATGTCCTGCACAGATAGCTTAAAAAAGCTGCTGGTACAATTATTCACCAACAGGATCTTTGTTTTCTTTTTGCATAGTTCACACATCACTGGGAACGTGACAGGGTGTGCTATTTTTGGCAAGAGCAAGAAGAAAGTGATACTGGTCTGAGTTGCCATATCAGGCATGCTGGATCCATGCAGAATGCAGGTAGAGGGCTGCTACCTGATGTTGTTAGACACTGAATACTGATTTTGTTTTTGTTGTAGCAGTTCAGTAATGGCCAAAAGCTTCTTAAGAACATGCTGTAGAGAGAGAGTCAGTAAAACTACACATTAGCTACTGGAAACAGAGCTACCCTCCCTGAGCAGCATTTTCAGCATCAGCCCATCAGACCTGTGAGTAGGTAGTTTAAATATATTAAAAATAATGAAAAAAAAAAGTCTCTGATTCCTTAGTCAGTAAAAGAAGTCTAAAACAGCACTTTGAACTTTGCCTCTCCTCCCATGGATATGCTTGCTGCTTCGTGCTTTAACAGGGAGGCAGAGAAAAAGCATAGAAGTGTTTGCCAAGTTTACAGGTGTACTGGCAAACTAGCAAGGATAAATGAGGTATTAAAAGCTAATTTAGTTCTCAACTGAAAAAAAAACCAAGACCTGAAAAATTACGACCCAGAGAGTCTGTCAGGATATAGTAATTTTGTGTGTTTAAGGCTAGAAACTAAAACTTCCTCTGAAAACTAAAAAAAAAAAAAAAAAAAAAAAACCCAAAAAACACAATTTGGTTTTGTTGCATGAAGAAACAAAACTACGGACTAAGTATTTACCTTTACAGCTAATAACCTCCTGGTGAAACGCAAGTATTTTAAAATGTTTATCAGTTACATTGCTACAGAAATACTGCAAAAGAATCCCAGTATTGCGGATTAACTCTGGACATGCCACCTGTACCTGTGATGTGCTCGCTAACCCTGCCTAGTGTTACCTTACCTGCATCACACCTCGCTCATTGCTGAGCGTCCTGAGCTCGTCGGAGTGTGCCACGCAGATCTCATGCAGGGCTGCCAGATCCCGGGACAGGTCAGTCCGAGAGTGCTCTGTAGTGTCCGGGAGCTCGGGAACATTCTTCAACAGAACAAAGACAGATTTAGGATGCCAAGACAAATTCTGGTCTTTCTGGCTAAATCTCCAGTCCATCTTTCATCTTTCTGTTGTGTATTATAGAGCACTGGGCAATCACCAACCACATGAGTTTCAACAAGGGGAAGTGCTGGATTCTGCACCTGGCATGGGGCAGCCCTGGATGTATGTAGAGAATAGGGAATGAGATGCTGGAAAGCAGTGCCATGGAAAGGGACCTGAGGGTCCTATTTGATGGCAGATTGAATACAAGTCAGCAGTGCCCTGGCAGCCAGGAGGGCCAACCGTGTCCTGGGGGGCATCAGGCAAAGCATCGCCAGCCAGCTGAGGGAGGGGATTGTCCTGCTCTGCTCTGCTCTGTGCAGCCTCACCCTGAATATTGTGGCAGTTCTGGGCACTTCAACACAGGAAAGATATTAAGCCATTAGAGAGTGTCCAAAGGAGGGCAACAAAGATGGTGAGGGGCCTTGAGGGGAAGCTGAACAAGGAACAGCTGAGGTCACTTGGTGGGTTCATCCTGGAGAAGAGGAGACTGAGGGGAGTTACAACTCATTGCAGTTACAACTTCCTCGTGAGGAGAAGAGGAGGAGGAGGCACTGATTTCTTCTCTGTGGTGACCAGTGACAGGACCTGAGGAAATGGTCTGAACTTGTATCAGGGGAGGTTTAGGTTGGATATTAGAAGAGGTTCTTCACCTAGAGGGCTGAACTACAATATACAGAATGCATGCAGTGACACTTTTGGCAATGCTAACCAAGATTCAACCTAGTAATTAATTTCCATTTCTGGTCAAAACGATGTGACAAATTAGACATACAAATTTTTGGTTTAAAACATGTTTTTAAAGGTCCATATTGCTGGCCAAAATTTCTAGTCTCATAGCTATAAAATCTATTTTGAGCTTCCCACATTTACAGAGGCACTAAATTAATAAAGTCTAAGAAGATATTTGATGGTTTTAATTCCATATAACAGACGAGTAATCTGTAGTCTCTAAACATGCATTAAAAAATGTATTCAGTTATAAGCATTCCAAATTGATGCATTTTTGAGCTAGTTAATAAGAACTGTAAAGAATTTTAATTTATAATGCTGCTATATAACTCAATAAATATTTTTTTAACTACTTACCCCAAGTTCATCCAAGAACATGATCATGCGATGTTTGTTGCTCTTGATGAATGGATTTACCCCTTCCATATATGGCTCCTGGTAATTTTAAAGAGCATTCATTAACAAATTAATGCCAAGATAATTGTCTCATCTGAAGGGAACACAATGGAGTCAAGGCAAATGACACTGCAAAACAGGTATGTAAACTCGAATAATGTTACCTTTTTTCAAGTGAATTTCTAATGTCTGATCTGCAACCAGTCAAAAGAATACAGAATTCAGTATTTTCTTGTATCCATAAGATTGATAATCTAACGTTCAGAATTTTTCTTACACATGGATACCGATATGAATTTGCATTAAGATGAGTGTCTCTCGATACCTGGATGCAATGAACAGATGCTCTACTTTCAGGGGCATAATCAGGAATAAGTGTCCTCTTTCCTGGTTTTTTTTCATTAACTCTTGCATTCCAAGTTCTGTGTGTCAGAGAAACAACTATAATGCCAGCCTGAAGTCATGCATACATCAACAAATTTATTTTTAGCAATGTTTCAGCCTGGGAACTGAGACAGACCAGTTACTGCTGGCATTCTCTTAGTCCTTTAATTGAAACTTCATTGACAGCTTGGGCTTTTTAGTGCAATATGTACACTTGACTTAAAGCATTAATTATGTCTAGCAGTGTAACAGGGAGTACACACAGAGTTTTGAAGTGTTCTTCCACAGAAAACACCAATCTAAGGAGTGATAAATCCAAGGTCAGAGTGGGGTAGGAGAAAAAGTCAGAGGTTCTGCGTGA